ATACAGGGTTGCTATGAAACGGAACTGACTCAATGGCACTTAACAACAACAGCTTAGGGCTTCAATTATTTGTGAAGATGTCCACTTGAGTTTTGTTAAAAATTTGTTATTGGCCCTTACCTTAATTTTTTCCCTCATAACACAAAATGTATCCTTTTGAAGTCACTCTAATGAGACTACAGTTATATTACTGAAAAAAGTTGTCTGCAACTGTCTACTGATCTCAGAGCATGCTTAAAAACACTTTGTTTGGAATAAATCAGTACATCTATGAACTGTAATCTTAGTGAAATACTTTTTTACTTACTATAATAAGGTCCAATGCAGATATTCATTACTAGCTAAACGAATGCACTCACTGGTTTTAAGAGGACTTCAGGGGATATTTTTGGTTTAAGATTTAAAGATTGTCTGTGGGCTATAATTTCAAGGGTTTGCCTAGTATCCATAGCGCTAGAAAGTCTGGTTTTCATCAGCATTTAAAATTTTGTTCTTTGCTTTTTCCCCTTTTGATCTTAATATATAGAATCTTTGATCAAGATGTTCATTAATGATAGCCAGACACCACCAGTTCTTTTGGTATCATGGCAAAGCAGGGAGTTGTTCAAGGTTTGAAGTTCTTTCTTTTTTCCTTTTTTTTTTTTTTTTTTTTTTTTTTTTTTTTTTTTGCATATTAATGGCCACTGACTATGCTCTTGGAAATGAGAATTATATATAATGGTTAGCAGTGATTAGCAGACCAATGCTAACCACAAGGTCAGTGGTTCAAACACTTCCAGACACTTCTCAGAAACGCTATAGAGGGTTCCTATGAGTTGGGACCGACTCAATAGCCCTTAACAATATATATATATACACTAAAGATGTTAGTTCTTTGTCTCTGAGGTTGCAAGTATTTTCTCAGTTTGGATATATTTTTCCATGCAGAAGCTTTAAATATTTTAGTGTATAATTTACACATTTTTCCTTAATTAACAAGTTACATATTTCCTCCAAGGAGCACTCTGGCTGCACTTCTTCCAAAACAGATCTATTGG